TGGTCAGGCTGGCTCCTTGATGTTAATCATGTGATATTATCTACAGTCTTCTAACAAAGTGGTGAGAACATATTACCGAGTCACCTAACTCTGGATATGAAAAGACAGTAGTATAGTGAAATTAATCAGTGGTGAATGGTAAACGATTGTAGTAATCACAACTGTGCCATTTAACCTTTATGATCTTGGAAAATCTAGTATCTCAAACTCCTTATCTATAAATACAGTATGGGACCCCGGGACACACCGTAAAACTCTGCACAAAGTATCTTTTATAGACTCAAAAGATTGTAACACAAATTATTATAAATGCTTATATTCTAAAACATCAATGTTCCCAAATAAAAGATATATTTTTGATTTCTAAATTTTGAGTTACCATTGGGAAGACTCAAATTATATAAAAACTTAAAAAAAATCCTTTTCAGGGCCTCCCCTGGTGGTGTAGCATTGAGCGCTGGGCTGTGAAGCTGCCTGCAGCCTGTACAGCACCGGTTCGATCCTCGGCTGCCAGCGAGGGTCCCACATGGCGCGCAGACCTCTCCTGCCGCCAGCTGCTCCCTTCAGCAGTCTATTTCGTTAGTCTGCCTGTTCTGTTCCCAGCTCTGGCACCGGTGAATCCTCTCACCCTCCCGCGCTTCTGACTGTACCCAGTGCTTGTATAAATAAATAAACAAATCTTTAAAAATAAATCCTTTTCATTCACTCTGCTTGGATCGCAGAATTATTATGAAGATCCAGAATTATTTATATACATAAAAACATTTTTGAAATTGTTTCAGAATTAGATTAATTTTGAAATTGATATAGCATTAGATTAATAATGAATGTTATAGCATTAGATTAAATTTGAAATTGTTATAGCATTAGATTAATAAATGAAAAATATTTATATTCCTATGTAGGGTAAGGTAAAGTATCAGGCTTTTCTGCCCTCCTGCCATTAGGATTGATGATGGATCCCTGTGGTCCTGAGTCCATGCCTGATGGCGTGTTGGGGTGTTGGCATACATAGGTAGGTACCCCTTGCTGAGAGACTGAGCTTATAAGGGTAGCATCAAGAGGATACCAACAGAGAGAACAGAACAGAGCAAAAGGAGCAGAGAAGCAAAGGCCATGAGAAAGTACTGGAGAGCCCAAGAAGTGTGAAGACTTACTGGTTTCTGGGAGGCCTGCCAGCCTCTGGGCCCCCCAACACCCCTGTCTGCCATGTACCTGGTAAATCCCAATAAAAGTCTGCAAAAGCCAAAAGCCACAGAGGGTTTTAGGAATCTCTTCTCCTTTAACCCATCTGCTCGGGTCATAGATGTCCTGCTCTGTGCCATCCTGCCCCTACATCCTACTCCGACCCTAGAAAGACCTGTTTTATGATTCCAGGAAGCTTCTCCCCACAACTTAAAAAATGGCCTGAGGCAAAGGGCTAGGGCTCCAGGGCAGGAGGGCCCTGTGACACCATCTGTAGCAATCCTCACTGCTACCAAAACCACTCCACAAATAGAGGTTATCAGAAAACATCCTGCAAGTGAAAGGCTCGAGTCCTATTTTATAAACATCTTTTCACAAAATGTCTATCCAACCAGAGGAAATAAATTATTTAACTGTAAAATTATTCTAATATCACAAAGATTCACATACCAAATAGCATACTGATTCTAGGACAAACTAAGTTTCATTTAGAACTTCAAAGCATAACAGCTCTATATTCATCATCCTCTTCTCCTTCTTGATATAACCTTGCAGAAAACTGCAGTATCTGATGACAAAAAGGACAAGAAAAAATTGGGCATAAGAAAAAAAAGGACAGGCAAAAAATCATGGGCAAAAGAATAAAAAAAAAAAAAAGACAAAAAAAGGCCTAAATGGGTTGGCTGTAAAACAATTTATCATCACTGTGAATGCACTGTATAGGGAAAGAAAGGAGAGAAAGGAGAGAAAGAGAGAAAGAGAGAGAGAAAGAAAGAAAGAGAGAGAGAAAGAAAGAAAGAGAGAGGAAGGAAGGAAGGAAGGAAGGAAGGAAGGAAGGAAGGAAGGAAGGAAGGAAGGAAGGAAGGAAGGAAGGAAGGAAGGAAGGAAGGAAGGGAAGGAAGGAAGGAAGGGAAGGAAGGGAAGGAAGGGAAGGAAGGGAAGGAAGGGAAGGAAGGGAAGGAAGGAAGGAAGGAAGGAAGGAAGAAGGAAGGAAGGAAGGAAGGAAGGAAGGAAGGAAGGAAGGAAGGAAGGAAGGAAGAAGGAAGGAAGGAAAGGAAGGAAGGAAGGAAGGAAGGAAGGAAGGAAGGAAGGAAGGAAGGAAGGAAGGAAGGGAAGGAAGGGAAGGAAGGGAAGGAAGGGAAGGAAGGGAAGGAAGGGAAGGAAGGGAAGGAAGGGAAGGAAGGAAGGGAAGGAAAGGAAGGAAAGGAAGGAACCAAGAGAAAACCAGTACATGGGGAATTCAACAGGAGTCTTATCAAGGCTATTGAATACAGGTACCAGTTATACTTTATAGTTGTCTTTTGTCTTTTCCTCACTCTGGACATGTGTTACATTTTGCTTAGACTGGTGATTTTCAACTTTGGAGGCTGAAAGGAATCACTTGAGGAGACTTTAACAAAATTCTGAATACTGGGAATGATTGAGGTAGAATCTAAGTATATATTTAGTTTTTTAAAAATATTTATGATTACGGGCCTCCCCTGGTGGTGCAGCAGTTGAGTGCTGGGTTGCGAAGCCGCCTGCAGCCTCTGTATACCGGTTCGATCCCGGCTGCCGGTGAGGGTCCCACAGCAGTGTACTTCAGGCCTTCTGTCTGTTCTGCTCCCCGCTCTGGCTCTGGTGAATTCTCTCACCCTTCTGCGCTTCTGACTGTACCCAGTGCTTGTATAAATAAATAAACAAATCTTTAAAAAAATATTTATGATTACAAGAACTGGGGTAGAGGCCAGAGGTGTGGGAGGTGAAAGGATTCACCAGAGACAGAGGCGGGGACAGAACAGGCAGATAGACCGAAGTACACTGCTGAGGGGAGCAGCGGGTGAGGCAGGAGAGTTATGCTGTGCCACGTGGGTTAGCTCCCTGGCCGGGGATCAAACTCGCACCGCAGAGGCTGTGGACAACTTCACAGTGCTGCACTCAACCCCTTGCACCACCAGGGAGGGCCCAGAATCTAATTATAGACCAGACATTTCTTCCAAATTCTTCAAGTGATTCTTCAAGTGATCCTGCAGTGGAGTCAGTAATAATATTTTGTGTTTACTTTTTTTTCATTAGAGTAGCTAGCTTTTCCTCTACAACACCACAGATTCTCCCTAAAATAAAGCCTTCTATTGTAATAGAAGATCCCCAAAGCAATCATTTTAAAGCAGGAGCAGTTGAAGTCCAGGGCACCTGCAGAAACTAAAAGATAAGATCATGTGCTCAACTTGCGTATAAGTTTTGGGTTGTATCTAAGACTGTTGAGTTGAGATCTTGCTTTTATATTGTGTACTCGCAAGCAACTTTAATACAAATATTAGGGGCAAAAATATTTTCCCATGAAAAATTAAAATTTCTAGAGAAAAATCAAAGATTATAAGAACCGTTTCATTTCAAACAGGTACTTAATAATTTGTGGAAAATGTCAATTAAAAATGTCCATCTCATCATTAATTACCATAGGTAGACAATCTTGATCACATTCAATACCCAACAACCACTAAGGAAGTAATTCTGAATGTGTCACACCAAGACATTAAAATAACTGGTAAATGGGATAAAAAAGAAGGTTGACTACGAAAGATGAGGGCTAGCCCAGTTATCAAGCACTGGTTCTTAAAATAATGATTACAAAACATTTACAGAGAATGAAACAGGAAATATAAATTTGGCACACAGGATCTCAGCCCTGAGCACACACTGCTCTTTCTGGCAAGGGGAACTTCTAACAAGGACAGGAAGATGAGAGAAAAGAGAGTGCCAGCAACACAGAAGGACTGCGAATCACATGGGCAGGATTCAACCAGACACCCCTTCTTTCAGAGTACGTTCACCATTTGCCAACACATTACTGGATCCTTTTGGGAAAGTACATTTGACTGTTTCCCATTTTCCCCCAACACAGAAGAATAATAAAGATCATATATTTCAGGCATGATGATTAAAAGGGATAAGGGATTTAAAAAGTACAGAGTACCACAGAAAATGTGTGTGACCTATCACAATCATGACTGCAGTGCAGAAGAGGCAGGAGGGAAGCCGGGAGGTGGTATGTGCAGAGGAGACGGCAGCACATGGAGAGGAAACCAGGGTGGACTGGATGGGCGCGCAGTAGGCCCACACGGGAAGCCTCTTCCACATGAAACAGTTTAGTGGAAAAATAAAATAAGCAACTGGCCAAACTGAAACAAAACAAACAACAGGATTTATAAAGAAAGGGGAGAGGGTTCAGCACTGGATAAGGTGAAAAATGAGCAGCCTGCTTTAACATTCATGCTTAAAAGGAAGACATTTCTTAGAGTTTAAAGAAGCGGGTAGAATCCCTGCTACAGGGGACAGCTCATTCTGTCAGAATTCCTGAGACCATGAATCTAGTTATGAATCCACATGCCATATGGCAGAAGCTGAAGACTAAAACAACTAGCACAAATTATGATGACATGAAAGATGTCTACTTTAATGCTTCAAAGTAAATGATGTACCATTAATTTCTAATTTCAGGCATATTGCTGTGGAAATTCATACTACAAAGATAAATGTGTGTGTGTGTGATTCTTTGATTTTTTTTTTTTCCTCAAAGGAAGGGCTGGTGAGAGGTACCACATTTTGCACTTTAATCTAATCTTCTAAAAGTAATTTAACAATCAGGTCTTTAAAGCAAGTTGGATAAGTATATACAAAATGAAAATGTAGAAATTCAAAAAAGATCCATGAAGAATAAGTTTATTTAGAACTCTTAGTAACTGGCCACTTACTAACAAAGAAGGGAAGTGTCAATCTTCCATTAGTGACTTGGCATTAACCAACCCGAGCCTGGGGAAGACGAGGCACAGTACCTGTAACCAGAGCCTGTCGCTTTGCATGGGCCTGCCGATGGCGCTGCACTGGAAGGTGGCAAACTGGCCAGCATTGACTTCCACATTCTGAATCCTCAGGAAGTGGGGAGTTCTGGCTACACAAAGAAAAAGAATTAAAGGCATTACAAGCTGAGATCTATAATTGATATGTGTCTTTTTTTAAACCTATCTGCAATTTCAGACTTTTTTGCTTTGTTTGAAGAAAATAATTTTGAAGAAATTAATTCTTCTGCTTCAAGAACTTTGAGGATTTCATTATGACTGTGAAAGATATTGTGGATGGCGTTGGTATGCTTGGTGCAAGAATAAAGAACCAGGAATTCTGGGAAGGAACCAAACAGAAAGAAGATATTTTATTGTTCCTGCTGTGCAAATTATCATAGCTCAGCAGTCTCCTTGTAATAACAGATCTGTATTAATAAAGATTATACTGAGGCTTAATTGATGTTTTGAACAAAAACATATTAGATATTTATATTAGCAACATGAAAAGAACAGTACGAAGTTAAATGATGTTGTCAAGGAAACTTTTTAAGCCATGTAAGAGCTGTGTGAAATATATACTTTAATACAACTAATTGGTATGCAGTATTACTTGTGTAATATTTCCCAGCCACCAAAAATACTATTCCTATACAAAGACACTGTGAAATTATGCTGGGACTGCCATAGCATTGCAGTTTTTGCTGATTCTTATTTCCAATTCAAGAAGAAAGAATGATTCCAAATGCGAAAGAGTATTAGGTCTGGTAAACATACAATTGTCTATAAGGGACAGCTGTTTAAATAAAAGCTAATTTTATTTGATATGGGAAGCACAGAACAATTTTTGCAGCTCACTGAAAACATGTCAAGGAACTGAAATGATAGGTCAGGAATTAAATTGTATGATAACATTTTTAGGTAAAAATGATCTTATCACAACTACAATAGGGTGAAAGAATTGCAAGGAGTGGGAAGAGAGGAGGTTAGGGAGTAGAAACAGAAGAGAACAGAATATAGCATTTTCTGGGAGGGATAAATAAGTCTACATAATGACTAGAAAAAAATTTTGTTATGTCTTGTCAGCTTTTCCTATTGCAACATGTCTTTAGGTCACATCTAGACACTTTCAGTGTGCCCCAAAACTGAGTATCCGTAGATGATAATCTAGCACTACTATTTTTTTTAAATATATATATTGTATTTTCTTTCTTTCTTTTTTTTTTTTTAAGATTTATTTATTTATTTATACAAGCACCTGGTACAGTCAGAAGCGCAGGAGGGTGAGAGAATTCACCAGAGTCAGAGCAGAGAGTAGAACAGGCAGAAGGACCAAGGTACACTGCTGAGGGGAGCAGCGGGTGTGGCAGGAGAGGTCTGCACACCACGTGGGACCCTCACAGCGGTGGGGGATCGAACCGGCGCTGCAGAGGCTGCGGGCAGCTTTGCAGCCCAGCACTCAACCGCTGCACCACCAGGGGAGGCCCTACTATTTCTTTTTTAAAAGATTTATTTTAAATAAATGTATTTTTAAATTTATTTTTAAATCTTTTTTAAAAGATTTATTTCTTGGGCCTCCCTGGTGGCTCAGGTGGTTGAGCACCACACTGCGAAGCTGTCCACAGCCTCTGCAGTGTGGGTTTGATCCCGACCGGCCAGAGAGGGTTCCACATGGTGCGGCAGTGGAACTGCCTCCTGTCTCGCCTGCTGCTCCCCACAGCAGTGTATTTCGTCAGTCTGCCTGTTTTGTTCCCTGCTCTGTCTCTGGTGAACTGTCTCATCCTCCCGTGCCATCTGGCCTGTACCCCAGTTCTTGTATAAATAAATAAATCTTTAAAAATAAAAGATTATTTCTTTATGCATACAGGAACTGGGGTACAGGCCAGAGGTGGGGGGTGAGGGGATTCACCAGAGATAGAGTGAGGAACAGAACAGGCAGACTGACTGAAATACACTGCTAAGAGGAGCAGCAGGCGAGTCCGGAGAGGTCTGCTGTGCCATGTGGGTAGCTCCCTGGCTGGGGATTGAACTCTTGCTACAGTGGCTGTGGACAGTTTCATAGGCTGCATCGTCACCCCTTGCGCCACCAGGGATGCCCTCTCTATGTTTTAGTTGTGGCTTATTCCATTGAGCAGATGTTTTTTTAGTTTCATTTAGTCCCAATAGTTTATATACTTTTTATTTTCTTGTTGCTGGGGAAGCTACAAAGATATCTCTGAAGTTTACGTCATGGAGTATTTTGCTTCATAGGTTGCGTTTTAACACCTTGTGCCACCAGGGAGGCCCGATCTAGCACTATTAGCCTGAACAGAACATAATTAGGAATGGCAGTGCGTTCCTACCCAAGAACAAAAACAAATACATTTTATATCAGTAACACACAGGGAAACCTTATTATTAAATTGGAGATGACTTGATGATTCAATGTATTCATGATGCTTAACATGCAAAGTGTTTTACATATTTTTAAAAGGAATATAAAAAGGGATTATTGTTACTAATACTAATATATGACTTAAAACCTCATAAACTATTTTTCACTCAATTATTTAGTTTACCTTTGTGTAGGGTAAATGATTGTCAGGCTTTTCTGCCCTCCCGCCATTAGGACTGATGATGGACCTCTGTGGTCCTGAATGCATGCCTGATGGCCACACCTGGAGTGGGGTGTGGGCTTACTTATGTGGGTTCACCTGGGCTGAGATGGGGTTTATAAGGGTGGCAGCATGGAACGGAACCACCAGAAGGAGAATGAGAAGAGAGAAGCAGAGAAGCAGAGGCCATGAGAAAATGCCGGAGAATCCAGAAAAAGTGAAGTTTTATCGGCACCCCTACCTGCCGTGAACCTGGTAAACTCAATAAAAGCATGAAAAGCTACCAAGAGCTCCAGGACTCTACTTTACCCATGTGTATAGGATCATAGAGATTCTGCTCTGTGCTGTTCTGCCCCTTTGTGCCATGCCCCTGTTGTGCCATGTGGGTAGCTCCCTGGCTGGGGATCGAACTCTTGCTGCAGTGGCTGTGGGTAGATTCATAGGCTATGTCTTAACCCCTTGAGCCACCAGGGAGGCCCTTTCTATGTTTTAGTTGTGGCTTATTTCACTGAGCAGATGTTTTTTTTTTTAGTTTCATTGCTCAAGCATAATGCCTTTTAATGGTCTAAGTAAAAAGAAAAAAAAAAATTCTACTCTTTGTTCCTGAGAAGCTGAAAGACCTACTGTAACAGGGTGGTCCCCAGGAAAGGGGGAGGTTCCCCAAGGGAGGGTGGAGCTGAGCAGGGAGGAGAGGAAGCTGCAGGAGTCTGAGGAAGGAAGAAAGCAGGATGGAGAGACAGAAGGAGACCTGGAGGAGGCACATGGAGCCAAGTGACACATGAAGAAGCTGCATTTGTCTTTTGGTCATAGACTGGGTGACATAGATGTGGGTGAGACTCGTGGAGAGGTGACAATGGTGGTTTTTATCTGGATTTTGATTTTGCTCTTTTCCTCCCAGACTTGTATGGTTGTTTCTGATCCTTTTCTGTGGGTCTCCACTGGAAGGTGCTTAGGACTTGTGGCAGGCTTTGGAGCCTTCCTTGCTCTGGGCCAATCCTGTTTGGGTGGACTTTTAAAACCCACGAGGGGAGGGGTAACTGTGGGTGCTGATTAAGAAACTTTATTCTTTGCCTTTCCTGTATTGTTTACTAATTGTATTAAAGTTACTTCCCATTAAAGTCTCATGTTTTGTGTTGATGTGGTGGACGGCAGAACCTATTTAGAGCAGGCAGGTTTGTGGGGTGCCCCTCTCCCTCCTATAATACTTTTAGAAAATGGAAAAAGTAACATTTGTGGAGCATGTATGTGCCAGAAACTTTTCTATCCATATGGGGGTACTTATGGGTATTTGGCTGGTAAGTGTCAGAACCAAAGCCCAGGACAGCCAACTCTGCAACACTGCCCCGGCATGCCTCGCACCCCATGCCTGCCTTTCACATGGTCTTCAGCCCACTGGAACTGGCTCCCCAGCTGACTGTTGGGATTTTAGTTTCTTCCAGGGTCCTTCTCAAATGTTGGCCCTTCCACAAAGCTTCTGTGAATTCTCTTCCTTAGACCCTTACAAAATCAAATGTTCTGTGTTGCATATATTACAAGTCTGGGATGACAGATTTTTTTTTTTTTATTGAGGCAATATTGGTTTATAACACTGTATGTGTTTTAGGGTATAGGGTCATGCCGCTTCAGATATGTTATCATATCACCATGTTCACCACCAACTCCCCAATAATCCCCCACCACAGTCCATTGGGCCCTCTCCTTCCTCTTTCTTTGCACAGCTACACTCCCGAATTTCTATGGATTGTTAGATAACCTGTTGTGGGGCAAGTGAAAATTGTCAGGATTTTTCGCCCTCCTGCCATTAGTATTAATGACAGACATCTGTGGGCTTGCATGCATGCCTCATGGCGGACACCTGGAGCAGGGTGTGGGCATGTGTGAATGGGCGAATCTGGGCTGAGAGACTGGGCATCTAAGGGCAGTGTCAGGGGGATGCCAGCCATAGTAGAAGCAGCGGTAGCAGAGAACAGAGACCACTAGAGAATGCCAGAGTGCCCAGAAAGAGTGAAGATTCTCTCAGCCCCCATCCCCCTGCCTGTCATGTATCTGGTTGCTGCACTACAAATGATGTAAAAAGATCAATAAAAGCCTGAAAAAGCCACTGAGGCTCCAGGACTCTTCTTTACCCATCTGCCTGGATCACAGAGAACCTGCTCTGTGCCCTGCTGGTACTACGCCTGTACACTTAGGTAGCAGGTAGCCTCACTGATATTGCCTTTTCCTGTCCTTTTTTGTAGCCTAAATTCTGCTTACCTCTTCCTGCAAATCACGATAATTAGTTGGACTTCTAACCCAAGGGTTTGGGTATACAGAAGCCACCTTCATGCTAACTTGGTTTAAAGTCACATGGCCTGCTATTATGCAGTTCCACACGACTTGGTTAAGTCTTAGATCAGTTTCCAGCTTATATCAAAAGGTTTTTAAATATACAGAGCATCATCCCTGGTATATCTTAGCATAGCTAAGCTACTAAAATTAAAAACTTAAAAGTCCCTCCTAAAATTCCATTGCAACATCTC